TAGGCGCTCAGCAAGTTCAACTCTTTCCCTTCATCCTGGACTCAAGGGATGTCCCTGTGCTGACCTCCATCTGTCTGACCTTCTGGGTCTTCACATCAGGTCAGGCTTTCTAAACTCTGAAGGGGATATGGACCCAGCCCTCAGGATATCGTCAACCTCAGCATCAATGTTCTCCATTTTCCCCCCTAGCTTCAGCATCTTTTCCTTTCCTGGATCTACATGTCCCTGTTACTGGCCCCTATTTCTTTTCATGGCAATGGGCCTGGCAGATCATTGATTGGTTTTATCTATAGCTGATGTCAAAAGGCAAGTGTGATGCCAGCCCCCAAAGTGGTTTTCTTATTGTACTTTTTCATCTGGTTCTGTATCTAAAGTTGAGAAGACTTGATAATTTGTCTCTGAATAAGACTGGTGTGACAGAAAATTAGAACACTTGACAAAAGCCCCATTATACATCACCTAAAAGGTGAATATCAAGGACTTAGATACAAATGGACAACTTTACCTGCAACAGGTACATGCTAGCCTACCCCTGCCTGTGAAAGATGATCATGACATTCCTGCACCTGCAGCTTATACTTTGTAGTGGGGAGGGCTCCTAGCTCATGTGTAGACATGAGAGTCCTGTAAGCACAATCCACTTGTCTTTGTCCCTGGGCTAGGTGCAAGCTTCCCCCATTTCTTGGCTCTCTCTGCCCTCCTCTCTATTCCGACTACCACCCTCTCCAGATGATCCCACAGGTGTCTGCATTCTCTTCCCCTCTGGTCTCTCTTGTGCCGTAACCAGCATGATCTCTCAAAAACAAGCACCTAATTCTTTTGGCTCATAACCTGTCAAGGGCTGACATGTTTCTTAGGATGGAGGCTGAGACCCTTCTTCTAGTGGATTCCAAGTCTCTGCATTGTCTCAAGGATCCCTTCCACTGGAGCCCAGCTCGTCCCTTCTCTTGCATCTCTGGCACTCTTCTCCCACCCCATGCCCATCAGTTTCCTCCTCCTCAACTTCCCTCTCTTCTGCCTGGCTAGTGCTAGCTCCTCCTTTGGTTCTCACCTTGAACACCATCTATCTCCTCAAGGAAGCTAATCACTGAAAAAGATCAAGTGCTCTGTGCTCTCATAAGCTCTCAATTCTCCTTCACATGCTCGTTACCACTGAGATAGGTACTGTGAGATCGGCAGGCTAACCTTTCCTCAGCTAGACCTCAGTATCCACAAAATCGTGAATCACTGGCTTTGCTCATCAGTGCTCTATGGATCCACCTTCTTCTTCTTCTTCTTCTTTATGTCTCCTCCTTCTTCTTCTTCTTCTTCTTCTTCTTCTTCTTCTTCTTCTTCTTCTTCTTCTTCTTCTTCTTCTTCTTCTTCTTCTTCTTCTTTAAAGGAATTATTTATTTTTATTTTATGTGTATAAGTGTATGTCTACAGGCATGTAAGTGTACAATGTGTGTGCCTGGTGCCTATAGAGAAAAGAAGAGGGTTTAGAGCTTCTGTAACTGGTGTTAGAGACACTTGTGAACTGCTATGTGGATGCTTGGTAACAAGCACTCTAACTGCTGCTGTCTCTCCAACCCTTGATCCACCCAATAGCTGCAAAGTTAGAATCTAACAACAGAAAATGAGGCAAACTAAATCACAGGTGGATTCAGCCATAGCATAGGTGGAAAAAAGTTGATAGAGATGATTTTTTTTTTTAAATATACTTCCAGTCATACAGGTAGTTAATGTATACACTATTTAGTTTTCTGTCAGCTTGATACAAGCTAGGGACATCTGAGAAGAGGGAACCTTAACTGAGAAAATGCCTGCATTAGATTGGCCTGTCAACAAGCCTATGGTCTAGTTCTTTTAGATTGAAGATTGATATGGGAAGGCCCAGCCCACTGTGAGTGGTGCCACCTCTAGGCAGGTGTCCTCTGGCACTATAAGAAAGCAATCTGAGTAAGCCACGAGGAGCAAGCCAGTAAGTAGCATTCTGCCATGTTCTTTGCTTCCAGGTTCCTGCCCTGTATTTCAACTTCATGTTGGACTATAAACTATAAGCTGAAATAAAGTGACTCTTTTCTCCCCAAGTTGCTTTTCATCATGGTTTTTATCCCAGAAATATAAAGAAAACTAGGGCAATATATAATGACAACAAATTAATAAAAACAAGGCTCTGGTCCAGAGAGACAGCTCCTCAGGTAAAGGCACCTGCTATAAAGCCTGGCAACCTGAGTTTGATGCCTGGAGCTCTCAAGGTAGGAGAGAACTGACTACTTGTCCTGATGTCCGCCTGTGTGGTACAGTTCTTGTGTGTATGTTGGGGTATGTAAGAAACAACACCCAACCCAGAGAGACCACTCCTGTTCCAAGTGCTTGACTTGTACTTTCATTTGACCCTTACCACAACTTTACTCCACTGTTATCTGCCAAAAGGAAACACCAGAGCAAGCAATGTGAGCCACTATCCCCCAGCACTTGCAGGGAAGCAATGATGGAGTCATGAGAACAACCAAAGCTATCTGTGTTCTTAAATTTTAAAACGTGAATACTGGAGAAGAAAAAAAAAATCCAAGATGTAACAAGAATCGTGAATCTGCATTATACGGCAGCTTCTCAGGGATGCATTTCCAAAAGTGCACAAAGTAAAGCCCAACAAATGATAATTAATGCTCATGATGAGCCAGTTCCTGTCTCTAAAGGTTCTGAGTTCCCACAGTCCTGAAAGCTGGGACTGACTATTCTGTGTCCACTGATTTAGGTGAAGTCTGAGGGTCAAAGAGGAGATGCAACTCAGCAAGGGGCACTAGACCCACCAGGGAGATAGCAGGGACCAGGCTTCTCAAATCTGTGTGTGTGTGTGTGTGTGTGTGTGTGCAGGCTTCTCAAAACAGTGTGTGTTGTGTGTGTGTGTGTGGGTGTGTGTGTGTGTGTGTGTGTGTGTGTGTGTGTGTGTGTGTGTGTGTTGGCTGTTTTTATGCACCATGCGCATGCAGTAGCCCACAGAGGCCAGAAGAGGGCATCAAATCCCTAGAATTAGAATTCCTGGTGGATCTGAGTCATCATGAGGGTGCTGGGAATGGTACTCAGGTCATCTGCAAGAGCAGCCAGTAACTGCTGAACCATCTCTCTAGACACTAGAATCTTGATTAACATAAGAAATTACTAATGATGAAACAAAACTCCAATGCACAAAGACAAATCCCCAAAACTTACACACGATGTCTAAAAGGGCCATGTCATCAAGTCTTGCACATTTTTCCTGAAAGAGAGGGTGAACTGATTAGGAAATGAAGCAGTAGGTCTGCGGCTAGTCCTCTCAAGCCTATTTTAGGACTGGTAAGAACATTCTATTAGTATGCCTGAAGTACTGTTTTGATAATCTATCTCCAATCTACATTCTCGTGTTAGTCAACAGTCCCCTCCATTTCTTGCCCCAGTCCACATTCTCACTTAACTTTTAGGTTTTTTTTTTTGGTTTTTGAGACAGGGTTTCCCTGTGTAGCTTTGGAGGCTGTCCTGGAACTAGCTCTTGTAGACCAGGGTGGTCTCGAACTCACAGAGATCCGCCTGCTTCTGCCTCTCGAGTGCTGGGATTAAAGGCGTGTGCCACCACCACCCGGCAACTTTTAGATTTTTAAAACATTAAAAAGCCAGGTATGGTGGTTCACAGCTATAATCCTAGTACTTGGGAAGCAAAGGCAGAAGGATTGCAAATGAGTTTGAGGCTAGACAGGACTATAGAGTGCGACTCCGTCTCAAAATAAAACAAAACACCACTCTTGAGCATACATTAAACTGCACACATACTGTGGTTGCATGAAAAACGTCTCCACAGGCGTGCATGGTGAGTACTTCTACCAGTAGGTGGTGCTGTTTGGTGAAGGGTGGAGCCTCATTGGATGAAGCAGCTCACTGGGAGTGGTACCATGAGGCTCTGGGGCCTGGCCATATTTCCTATTTACTGTCCATGCAGCCTGACCAGCCAGTGAGTTGATGGACTGAATTCCCAGGAATGTGAGCCAAAACAAACCCTTTCTTGGTTAAGTTGCTTTTGTCAGGGCATTTTCATCACAGTCACAAGTAAGACAATATATTTAAAAATTTCAGATGTGGCCATAAATATACTTATGAAACCACTTATGTCAATGTGGTGAACACGCCCAGCAATCTCCATGCACAATTTCTTTGTGCCTTTCACTCTCATATCCTTTTCTGTCCCCACTTCTCTTCCTCCCAATCCTTGGTGCTAAGGCAGCTACAGATCTTCCTTCTGTCACAACATTTGTAGTTTCTAGTTTTATATGAATGTTAACATAAGGTTGGATTCTTTTTTGATCTGGCTTCCTTTACTCAGCATAATTATTTTGACACTTAGCCATATTTTTGTATCTATAGTTCAATTCTTTTTTACTGCTAGTAATTTTCTGTTTTGTGAATATGATACAGTTTGTTGCTTACTGGATTTGGGTTGTTCCTAGGTTTTAGCAGTGATGAACACTGTACTAATATATGTGTCTTTCTGTGGATATGCATGTGTTTTCATTTCTCTTGAGCAAATGCCCGGCAGTGGAATGGCTCAATCTATGATGGCAAATATTTAGACTTTTAGACAAACTGTCAAGTGCTAGAAAATGTATCTTGTTGAGCACTTAGTGTGTTTGAGACCCTGGCTTCAATCCCAAACACAAAATAAATGTTGGGCTTGAAGTACAAACAGCTCAGCAGACAACCTTTGCTTAGCATGCACCAGGCCCTAGGTCCAATGTCCAGCACCAGAAAAAAAAATCCCATCTATTCCAAATAGGTATGATCAGTCTTGCCAATCCTAGCCATCCTGATGACCATATTTTGTGGCTTTTATTTACACTTACTGATGACTAGTGATTCTGAACACTACATCTTCATATGCTTATTTGCCATCTGTAAGTTTTCTATGGGAAAGTATCTAACCAAATCTTTGATGTGTTAAAAAATATTTTTAATGTGTATGTGTTTTGCCTGTATGTATATCTGTGCAGCATGTGTGTGCCTGGTACCCTGGAGCCTAGAAGAGGGTGTAAGATCTCCTGGAATTGGAGTTACAGATGGCTGTGAGCTGCTGCAGTGGTGCTGAAAATGGAATCAGGTATCTGGAAAAGCAGCTGGAGTTCTTAGCCACTGAGCTATCTAAGATCTTTTTTCTTATTACCGACTCTTTCAACTTTCCAGCATGTTACAGATCAGGGTTTGGAAATAGTTTCCATCACTCTGTGGCTTTTCTTAATTTTTCAAAGAAAAAAAAAGATTAATTCTACTAGTTTATCAATTATTTTTCTTTTATGAACCACCTTTTTGGTGTTCTAAGTAACCTTTGCCTAGTCCAATGATACAAAGATTTTTCTCTTGTTGTTTCTACACAGTTTATGGTTTAAGTATTTGGGTCTTGGATCTATTTTGAGTTTTTTTTTTTTTTAAATAGTAGGGATGGGATGGACTAAACTTGCCTTTTTTCTTCTTGAGACAGTCTTCTTACGCACCTGACCCTGAATTCACTATGTAGGCCAGGCTTTACCTGAACTCTAGCTATCCCTGCCTTGGCTTCCATAGTTCTGGGACTGAACAGATGTAGTACCTGAACCAGCAAACACAACTTGTATGTGTTTTGGCATACAAGCATCCAACTATTTTTAGCCTGTCTGTTGGAAAAATTGTTCCTCCTCCCCAGAATTGTTTTTTGTAGCTTTGCTTTAAAAAAAAAAAATCTTGTGTACATATTGGTCTAACTTTATCCTATTGCATTAATTTACTTGGCTGATAACTTTGAACACCTTTACCTCACACATCAGAATTACTTCCTGGGCTAGAAATTCCTTTCTCTGCCGAAAGTTTATGGTCTGCAGTTGGTCTTCAGACAAAAAGTTCCAGGCTTTTAGGATGGTCTTCATCTCACACAAGGGGATTTTCAAGATGCTCCTCCGGATAAACTCGGCAACATTCTCATCCATCTCTTTGGCCCTTGGATAAAGCAAGAAGAGCACAGGAATGCATTAACCCAGTGCAGAAACTTCAGTGTGAACTGTTCAGTATCTTATTTAACCCAGGGTTTGTTAGGTCAGACACTCGATGCTTACCTTTTCTAACAGTCTGCACTGTTTGAGAATGCTGAATTTAATTACTCTTTAAGCTGCACTGGCATATGGTCTCATGCAGCCTAGGCTGGGATCACACTCATGTGGCTGAGGATGACCTTGAACCACTAAAAAGCTATAGATATCTATTTTGTTTTTAATATGTGTCTTTGTACATAAATGTGAGTGTCTGAGGAGTCTAGAGGTGTCAGATTCCCTGGAACTGAAGTTATAGCTGGTTATGAGCCACCCGATCGAGTGTTCTTAACTGCGAAGCCACCTCTTCTGCCTGACCTTCAACTCTTGATCCCCTTACCTCTACTTCCCTAGTGTGGGATTATGGAGTGAGTGAGTCACTGTGCTGGGTTCTAGTCAGCGGTGGGTTAAACCCTGGGCTTCCTGCATGCCATACCCTACCAACTGACCTGTACCTATAGCCCAAACCCCAGATTTTTTTTTTCTTTTATTTTTCTGAAGAAAGTTTTACTTACTCTGTAGCCCAGGCTAGCCTGAAATCTACTATATAGCCAAGCTTGGCCTCAAAGTGGTAGCAATCCTCCTGTCTCAGCCTCCTAAGAGCTGTAATTAGAAGTGTGAGTCTCTACAGCCAGGATGCTTTAGAATTACAAAAAAGAAAGAAAGAAAAAAGGAAAAAAGTGCTGTTATGATTTGTATACAGTTTGTACACCAAAAGTTTTTGTGCTAAATACCAATTTAATGGTACTGAGAGGTGGTGTATCTTTAAGAAGCCTAGTGGAAGGTGATTAGGTAGGTGACTGGGGTATAACCCTCAAAGGGATTAATGCACTCTCATAGGAAGTTAGGCTAGTTTCCTGGAAGATTGTTTTATTTTATTTTTTAAGATAGCTGGGGAGATGATGCAGTCAGTAAAGAGTTTGCTACACAAGCATGAGGACCTGAGGTTGAGCCCTAGTTCCCTTGTAAAAATCTGGTGCTGGGGGATGGGGATGGGGGTAGAAGGATTGAGGTAGGGAGGCTTTCTGGCCAGGTAGTCTAGGACTAAGGAAGATACTGAATGTTTACCTCTAGAACAAACATACACTCACACCCACATATGCTCACACAAGCACAAATATACATAAACACTCACTTGCACACCCAGGAACTCACACAAACACACACACACACACACACACACACACACACACACACACACATACACACACTCACACTCACTCACAGGGTGTGTTAATCCAGTCATGTGGATACAGGTCTATAAACTTGGCATTCAAAAGAACAAACCCAGGAGGCTGCCTAGGGCTATCTAGTGCTGTACTGTCTCCATAAATAAAAACCACTGTGTATATGGCTTCCCCACTAGCTTTCTGGCTTCCTCCAGCCATCTGATCACTATATAGCTTGGTCCTCACACATGGTCCTGCAATAATGTCCTCTGCCATACTATGATATAGCTAACATAATGACAGTTACTTAGAAACTTATTTCTGAGCTGGGTGGTGGCACATACCTTTAATCCCAGCATTCAGGAGAGGCGGGTGGATCTCTATGAGTTTGGGCCAGCCTGGTCTACAAATCAAGTTCCAGGACAGCCAAGGCTACACAGAGAAACCCTGTCTCAAAAAACCAAACCAAAAAAACTTTTTCATGGAATATTTTAGCTAGTGGCAGATTCCCTATGAAATGTGAAACTAGAAGTAAGTATGGACAACTGTAGTGTCTTATTTTCATGCTTCAGGGCACTGCCAATCCTATGTTACTGTCCTGCTGTCTTCAGGTAAAGAGTCTTCCAGTGCCTACCCAGTCCTGAGCCCTGAACGTGGGATAGTTCCCTCAACAAGTGACCCTCAGGAACATTAAAGCTGTGGTGCAGGGAAGGGAGATCCTGAGCCTTTATTGCTTTCTTCAGAGCCTTTAAAGGGTACAGCTAAGCCTACTGTTACTTGAATTGGAATGCTGACACAGGAGGTAAAATGCAAGCAAGCACCCCCCCCCCCCCAACATGGTCTCACTTTGTAACTCTGGCTGTCCTGGAACTCACTATGTAGACCAGGCTGGCCTCGAATTCAGAGATCCACCTGCCTCCCAAGTCTAAGATTAAAGACCTATGCCACTATACCAAGCAAACAAGCAAGATTTCAAAGTGAAGACTGAACAAAACCTGTGTAGACTTTAATTTCCTTGAACAGCTTGTCTTCTAGACTGGGACACAGACTTTGGTATCCATGTTTAAGATGAAAGCAGGTCTGTCATTCTCATTGAGTCCCCACAACCCTAGAATTACTAAGAATAAATGGGGGGTTATTCTCCACAAGAGTCCTGGTTGTGACTGACATCTAAACTTGTAAGAGCTTCTTGAACACTGTGTGTAACTTACAGCCATTGACTGCTGGCTAAAAGATATACAACTAACTGACTGTACTTTATTATTTATTTATGTAGTTATGCCATGGATGTACTGGTACCCCATCCAGACAAGGTGTCAAGGCCCCTGGAGCTGGAGTTACAGGCAGTTGTAAGCCCTTCACGTAGCTGCTGGGAACTCACCCAGATAGTCTGAAAGAGCAGCAAGGAGCTACTCTCTAGCTCCTTTCTTTTATCTTTTGAGACAGAGTCTCATGTATCATAGGGTAGCTCTGAAATTCTGATCTTCCTGCCTCCATCTCCCAGGTACTGGTATTATAGGTGTGGGTTATCATGTCAGGTTTCATGTGGTTTGGGAGATGAACCCAGGGGTTATTGCATGTCAGGGAATCATTCTACTAACTGAGCTAAATCCCCAGTCTGTATTTTAAAAAAGGCACTGCAAACCACAGCATGGTTTCAGATGAAAAAATAGTTGACAATTCATAGCTAGGCAGGGGTGGCACAAGCCTTTAATCCCAGCACTCAGGAGGCAGAGGCAGGCAGATCTCTGTGAGTTCAAGCCAGCCTGGTCTACAGAGTGAGTTCCAGGACAGCCAGCAGGGCTGTTACACAGGGAAACCCTGTCTCAGAAACAAACAAACAAACAACAACAACAGCAAAAACAACCCCTCCCAAAAGAATAAAAAACCCCAAACAAACAAACAAACAAACAAACAAAAAACAGCTGAATTAAGGTTGTGAAAAAGGACTACTATTTACTGCACTGTTCAGCATGGTCTACAAAACCATGTATTACCTGGCCCTTGCTTCCTTCTTGCTGCCTCTCTCCCCGTCCTTTTCTTCTTGTTTGTGCATGTGTATTCAAGGAAGGACTTTAGGGCCTTCCTTGAGGCAAACACTATGACTGAGCTGCTTCTCCAGGCCCACATCTTCAGCTACACTGTAAGATTAAGGATCCCTTGAGGTGGGGATGGGGCATTGTACTTGCAGCAACCATTGACTAGAAGGTTCTTATTGTAATTCAGTTCTTGGTTTGGTTTCTCCCCAGAAACTTACTGCACCCGTCCAATAAAAAGTTATTTTACAATCTTCCAGGGCTCATTGTCTTTACAGAACCACCCACCATCAGCTTTATTATTTTATCACAGCTATATATATATAATTATATATTTTGTGCTCAAGACAGGGACTATGTTGGTCTTATTCATTACTATGACTCTAAAATTTATAGCCCTGTTACTGTCCTGGCAGGAGGAAGGTCATTCTAAGGAGAGTCATTGTGTGCCTCCCATTTGAGACAACAGACACCAAGAAGATGAAACTTGGCAGAAGGAAAGGCTGACACCTGGTGTCAGTCAGAGGAGCTTTTCTGCCAACTTGTCAGTACCTCCTTCGGGAGAGACTGAAACCAGGATGATGGCTCAGCGATGGAAAGACCACACTGTGACCAGGACTGCTTAGTTGTGAATACCTTCTGCTTTCTGTTTAAACTTCTGTCTCAGGTCTGAGCACCAAACATTAACTTCGTGTCGGTGAGTCACTGGACCTCTTTGTTTTTCCTAGTGTAGTCACACTGAATAAACTTCTTTTCTGTGCTTTTAACTATGCCTTGTCCTTTTAATTGGTCTAGTGAGGGTGGTGACTGAGCCTAGCTTGTTAGGGTTGCCAAGGCCCAGGCTCTGACTGTAACAATTTCAGTGACTGTCAATCAAGTCATCCAGGGAGTCCGGTCAAGAACCATCTCAAATGAACCTGACAGATGCCTGAAGGAAGGACTGGATACTCTCCCTAAGCAGTGTGCATATGAGAAGGATTTGGTTCAACAGTCCGCCAACTATCAAAACAACACTTCATCTATGAAGAACATCTGGGAGGGCTTTCTTGTGTATTGATAAGGTAAACCGGGAAGGTGTATGCAAAGCAGGCATTTCTCCCCTCCCAGTACTAGCTAGGCTTGACCCTGCTCAATCAGGCGAAGTCAGAGCACTCAGAGTGGGGTGCCAAAAGATGAGATGCAACATTCCCTAGCACTTCTGAAGATTCTTAATCCTGAGAGGCTTGCAGAATGCCATTTCTAGAAGAAATGACAGAGAGGGCGTAAAATATCAGCAAATTTAGCAAGCCCTTGAGTGAACTTTTCCCCTGTAACTATTTCAATTTCCATTTTTTTTTTTTTTTTGGGTTTTGGGAGATGGGGTTCCCTTGGGGCTTGGGGGGCTGTCCTGGACCTAGCTCTTGTAGCCCAGTTTGGTCTCGAACTCACAGCCGCCTGCCTCTGCCTCCCGAGTGCTGGGATTAAAGGCGTGCGCCACCACCGCCCGGCTTCAATTTTCTAGCGCTTCACCACAGTAGGTGCTAAGACACAGTTCTTGAATGCACTAGTGGCAGAAAAGACCCCTCGTGAAGTAACAATCTCGTCGAAGCGAGGGAGCAAAACGAGTAAAGCAACAGGATGCACGGACAGTAAAGACTCAAGGTAAGAACTAGGGAGCCAAAGCGCAGCCGGAACCTTGGGCTCAAAGTAGAGCCACCCTTCACCGGGCCGACAGGAACTGTTGCAGCGCAGATTCCCAGGCGACACATAAAGCCCGGCCCCACTCCGGGCGGATATGACGCCACGGACGAGCATCACCACCCTCTTGTTCCGGACTCAATATTAAGTGAGTCTCACCCCTAGGCCAAGATCCCGCGGCAGTACTGCACCGTGACAGGGCCCCTGTAGAGGACTGAGGGCTGGCTCTCTTAGTCCTCGCACCGCCCTCCGGGTTCCAATCCGTGCAGCTGAAGCCTTCCTTACCGCTGCTCCACATCGCCCGCCGCAACTACAGCTGTTCCCGCCGAGGCGCTTTCGAAGCCGCCAATGGCTGCTCGGGCCCCGCCCACCGGGCAAGGCCTCTGCACTGCTCCAGGTATGTGGGGGTCGCGGATGTTGTTGCTTCCAATGGGAAACGCGTCGAGCCCCCAGTCGTCGCTCTACTCAGGCACAGGGCCAGGTAAATCTGTTTAATCTCTGCCTAGAATCCTTTCTTGCAGTCCTCGTTGTTTGCTGCCCCCGCCAGGCCTCGGCGGGCCAGCACTGTGTCCCCCTTAGTCTCGGACAGTGGACTAGTCCAGGCGGGGCGGTGCACGCCGAGTGGCGCACGCGCGGAGGAGGTGCGGGCCCTAGGACCGTGACTTTTCTCGGTGTTTTTTTTGGGGGCAAAGCGCCGGTGAGTGTCGGGCGGCCCTCAGCCTCCGGGCCTCTGGGAGCCTGCGGCTCTTCGGCCCCCACGCGCGCTAGGTGGAGTGCCGAGGCGGCTGGAGTGCACCCATGTCCTTGCCCTTGGACCCTTGCAAGGGACACTCGGTTGGTGAGCAGCGGGCGTGAGTTGTCACACTCCACGGGGGTCTCCCCGCTGCTCTTAGCCTTCCGATCTTGACCACACGCCTTATAGAGTGCGCGTACCCTGTCTCAGCGCTTTGGAGATGGGTGTCACTGAGTGCTCAGTGAACTGTTGGAGAGGGTTACTAAACTAGGGATCTGCCTGCAGAAACAGGCATCCGGCAGAGTGCGTTTTAGCTGCCGTGAGAGTTCTTGTACCGAAAAGTCACTTAACTGGCTGGTGAGGTGGGTATCTACAAAGATCCCCACGGTACACTTGGCCAGGAAGGTAACGTTTCGTGTCCGTTTTATAGGCTTCGAGGACGACTGTGATTGTGTTTTCACAATAGATGTATGTAGAGTCGAAATATTAGAAACCTCTGCTAAAACTTTACAAAATTACACACACACACACACACACCCGAAAACAAAACAAAAACAGAAAACAAGCATGGTATGGTGCCTCGTGCCTTAATCCCAGCACTGGGGAGGTGGAGGCGGGAATGAGGAGTTCAAGGTCATCCTCAGGTACATAGGGATTTCAAGCCAGGCTGGACTACTTGAGACTGTGTTAATTCAAAGCCCACTTTAAATGTATACAACTTCAACTTTGCTTTGGCAAAGGGATGCGCTTGTGACATTCGTTCTGTTACTTGGTTGATCGAGGTGAAAATGAGCCTCTTTTCATCCCCTTCAGTGGTAATTTTCAACGTTCAGCAATCATTTATTGGGCACGTACTGTATACACTTCCTAAACTGTTTGCTCGAAAGCTTCTGTTCTATCACAAGTGTGTGGACTGTATCCTCCCCCTCCCCCATTCTAAAGTTCCCCTTGACTGGGCAGAATGCTTACCTGCCTGCCTGGTACTACTGGTAAGAGATTGTTTCAGAATGATGCAGAGGAGGTCTATTTCTTGAGAAACAGTTTGATGGAATTCAAAGGTAGTAGGCAATGTGACTTATTTTTCCTGAGGGTGATAGTTGAGATGTGATCATTTGTGTGCGTTTGTGAGTGGGAGGGAGGGGGAGGCCCGGGGAGGGGCGGCGATGGACAAGGACAAGTGGGTGCCATGATGTATGTGTGGAGGTCAGAGGACAACTTGTAGGAGTCTGTTCTACCATATAGGTCCCAGGGACCAAACCCAGGTCCTTAGGCTTGGCAGTAAGCACCTTTTTCTGTTGAGCAATCTCATGGGCCAAACATGTAGGCCTTTTAAGGATATATTTTAAGGGGTAGGGAGTATGGCTTAGTTGGTAGAGTGCTTTGCCTACCTAGTTTTCAGGTAGTCCTTGGATTGATTCCATACAGCACATAAAAGTAGGCCAGATGGCAAACATACACCCTAGCATTCAGGAGGTAGAGGCAGGGGGATGAAGAGTTCAAGGTCTGCCTGAAGCCCTGTCTTTAAAAAAAAGAGATGCATTTAAAAAGCATAAGGGTAAGTCTTCAGTTTTTGCTAGACAACAGATCTTCAGACTTTAAGATAACTTTTTTCTCCTTGGCTTTTTGTTTTTTGTTTGTTTCATTTTATTAATTTTTTAAATCTCAGAGTCATGACTTCTCTTTTAAACTTGTATTTTGTGTCCACCACCGTGTGTGTGTGTGTGTGTGTGGGGGGTGGGTGTGGGTGTGGGTGGGTGGGTAGGTAGGTAGGTAGGTAGGTTAGAGAATGTTGGAGTCAGTTTTCTCCTTCCACCATGTGAGTTCTGAAGACTGAACTCAAGTCATGCACTGAGCCAACTTGCTGGCCTTAATTAACTTTGTTTTTAATTGTTTGTGTTTGGTGTTGTGTGGGTTTGTATATGTGTGTGTTCTAGGGTTGGGGCTGACCTCAGTCCAGTTAAGTCTGGTGTGTCACTCTCTGCTTTACTAACTTGAGACTTGGTCTTTCACTGACCCATGTAAGCCAGCTAATTTTGGCTAGGTTGCTAGCCATTGAGCACTCCCCGCCCCACCATGAGTGGGTGGGCTTATCTGTCTCTGTCTCCTCATTAAGGGTTATAGGCATTACCCACTGAACATCTCCCAGCCCCTTGCTTATTTTAAGCTATTAGAAATGGCAACTGAAGCGTAAATTTCTTTCTTAAGCAGCTGCACAATAGCAAAATCTTTCTAAAAACAGTGGTTCTCAACCTTGCTAATTCTGTGACCCTTTAAAACACTTCCTGATGTTGTGGTGACCCCCAACCATAAAATTATTTCGTTGCTACTTCATAACATACAAAGATTCATTTAAAGGGCAAGGTGATGCAATGTAATGGTGGATGCTTGGTTAGCATGACACATAACCCTTAGTTTGATCCTTGGCTCTGAAAAAAAAAGCAATGCATTTGGTATACCTAATAGACTGAACACCATAGCTTACCCTGGCCTATGTCACCATGCCCAGAATGCTTATAGTTGAGCAGATCTTCTAACACAAAGCCTGATTTAAGATAAAATATTAAATATCTTATGTGTACATGTGTACACATTTTCCAAACACGAAATGAATATGGAAACAGAGAACACAATGCTTCAAAAAACAATAGCCATCCAAGCTGGGTGGTGGTGTCGAATGCCTTTAATCCCAGCACTGGGGAGGTAGAGGCAGGGTGATCTCTGTGAGTTTGAGGCCAGCCTGGTCTAAAAAGCAAGTTCCAGGACAGCTAGGGCTGTTTACACAGAGAAACCCTGTCTCGAAAAATAATAATAAAAATGTAATAACAATACAATAATAATAATAGCCATCCAGTATACTTCAGTGAATAGGTAGTTTCTCTACATTGTGTGACTCACTGGGAAGTAGGACTGGTTTCTTACTGCCCAGCACTGAGACAGGCTAGCATTGGCCTTTATATTGCTAATTTATCAAAAGCTTAAAATTTGAACAACAGGTTCTGAATGCATGTCATCTCTCCATGATAACAAAGCTTAGAAACTGTAAGGTGGGCCATCAAAAGTTGGAGACCATGTGCTTGCTTTGTTAATTAAAGAAACTATTTCTGAACATCTCAATTTTTTATTTAAACCATTAGGGAACAAATTTTGAGGGCTGCTTGATCAAAATGTGCAAAAATATTTTGACAAGTACATTTTTTAAACAAAACATTCAAGTCATTTTCTAGGTGGCAAATCAGTGTACTTTCAGAAAAACTAAGTGAGATGAAAACAAGATTCACTCCGTTCTACATTCTATTACAGTATTATCTATGATAGATTCTGGTGATTAGCACCATAACAGTAATTGATGACTTGCATTATTGAATATGTCAAACTTCTTGCTTCTGAGGCAATCAATCGTGCCATTAAAACGACACTTAGTGCGGAGGAAACGAAATCTGAACTAGGTTGTGGTTCCATTTTCCATTGCAAATACTTAGCTGGCTGGGACTGTCTGATTTGTGTTCTTTAGCTATGGTGAGTTTGTGTGTTTAGTAGTTACTGAATTGAACAGTAAGCAGATAAAAATGCAGTTTAAGATAGTGGATGTGCGCTAGTCCTTGGGGATTATTTATTTAGGTTTTCTTTTGTATGTGTTGGGAATAAGAATTGTATCTGTGGGCAATTTGAGAATTTTATATATACATATACACATTTCTTAGGTTTTTTTTAAATAAAAATTTGAGGTATAAAATGTGCATACCATAAAATTTGCCCATTGCAAACAAATTTAGTGATATTATTAAGTTTGTAGAATTGTGAGCCATTATCAGGACCCAATTTTAGAACATTTTTATCACTCAAAGGCAATGGTTCTCAACCTTCCTAATGCTGTGACCCTTGCCCCTCATGTTGTGGTGACCCCCAACCATAAAATTATTTTGTTGCTACTTCATGACTGTAATTTTACTACTGTCAGGAATCATAAAATACATATCTGATATATAGGATGTTTAATATGCGAGACTCCAGAGGGGTCTCAACCCACCAGTTGAGAACCACTGCTCTATAAGAGTTTGTTTGTGTCCATTTACAAATTAACCCTCATTTTCATCTTTAGTCCTGTACAACCAGTGGAGTGGTTTTTGTTTCTGTGAACATGAATGTAACCTTTCGTAAATATTGAGTGAAAATAGAGCCATTCAATATGTAGTTTTGGTGTCCACTTTTATCAAGCATAGGGCTTTTCATCAGGATTAGAACATGTAGCTAATGAGTATTCTATTGTATAGTTAAGCAACATTTGTTTATAGATTTATCTGAGACATTGGATGGCTTTACTAAAATTCCCAGGCTCAAGTCTGAAGACTAATGCTCCTAGCCAGGTGCACACACTATTAATCCCAGTCTTGGGGAGGCTGAGGCATGCAGATCTCTGAGATAGAGCCAGTCTGGTTAGTTCCAGACCAGCCAGGGCTACCTGGTGAGACTCTATTAAAAAAAACAAAAAACAAAAACTAAAATTATAATAATAATAGAATAGTGTTTCTATGTATGTTCACACACGTGTTAGTTAACTTAGGCTTTCCTTCCTTGGGTTGGCATGCAGCTGCTGAGCTGCAGTAAGTGTGTGTGTTCTACTTTGTCTCTCTAGGCATCTGCATATGTCCTCTGTAGTGGTATGTGAGTTCGTTTCTTCTCAAACTAATCCTGCTTGTTATTATCTGACTTTCTGATTATAAATGTCCCTGATATAAAGGTGGTGCAAAAGCAATGGACAGTCAGTAGAAATCTGTTGTCAAATGTTGCATTTGGTCTTTACCCCGATGATGTAATGTCTTGATGGCAGGTCACAGCATGCAGCCAGCCATGCCTCCCAGTCAGCCTCAGGGTCACAAGGGAAAATGTTGCAGTGTCTGTGTTGCCAGTGCTTTTGGATATTGTGGTTTTGCATCCCATCATGTCTGCCAATTGCCCATCTGTGT